GCAGATTGATGCTCTGAGACGATCGGCAGCAGATTGATGCTCTGAGAGGATCAGCAGCCACATGTCAAGTCAGTAAACAGTTTGACGCAGGTTTCAAGCTGGGACTGTTCATGCACCGGTTGAGGAATTAGACTTCGACTTGATTTGCGTTTTAATTTCGTGTTTAACCTTTTGTCAGTGAACAACTAAACAGATCTTTATTAAAAATGTGCGATTTTTAAAACAATATAATGGTGTCATTTTTGTTGCATAGAAAATATTCTCCGGGGCCCAACTCTGGAGCCAGACCTGGAGGTGGGGCACGCGGGCGAGCGCCTGGTGGCCGGGCTTTTACCCATGGAGCTCGGCCGGGCACAGCCCGAAGAGGAGACGTGGATCCCCCTTCCCATGGGCTCACCACCTGTGGGAGGGGCCAAAGGGGTCGGGTGCAATGTGGGATGGGTGGTGGCCGAGGGCGGGGACCCTGACGGTCTGATCATCGGCTACAGAAGCTGGCTATTGGGACGTGGAATGTCACCTCACTGGTGGGGAAGGAGCCTGAGCTGGTGAGTGAGGCTGAGAGGTTCCAGCTAGGAATAATCGGACTCACCTCTACGCATGGCTCTGGAACCAGTTTCCTTGAGAGGGGCTGGACACTCTTCCACTCTGGAGTTGCCCCTGGTGAGAGGCGCCGAGCAGGAGTGGGCATACTTATTGCCCCCCAACTTGGTGCCTGTGTGTTGGGGTTCACCCCGGTGAATGAGAGGGTGGCCTCCCTCCGCCTACGTGTGGGGGGACGGGTTCTGACTGTCGTTTGTGCTTATGCACCAAACAGCAGTTCAGATTATCCACCCTTTTTAGAGTCCTTGGAGGGGGTACTGGAAAGTGCTCCTCCTGGGGACTCCCTTGTTCTGCTGGGGGACTTCAATGCTCATGTGGGCAATGACAGTGAGACCTGGAGGGGTGTGGTTGGGAGGAACGCCCCCCCCGATCTGAACCAGAGTGGTGTTCTGTTGTTGGACTTTTGTGCTCATCATGGATTGTCAATAACAAACACCATGTTCAGGCATAAGGATGTCCATATGTGCTCTTGGCACCAGGACACCCTAGGCTGCAATTCGATGATCGACTTTGTCATCGTCTCATCTGATCTGCAGCCACATGTCTTGGACACTCGGGTGAAGAGAGGGGCGGAGCTTTCCACTGACCACTACCTGCTGGTGAGTTGGCTCCGATAGTGGGGGAGGATGCCGGTCAGACCTGGCAGACCCAAACGTATTGTGAGGGTCTTCTGGAACGTCTGGCAGAGTCTCCTGTGAAACGGAGCTTTAACTCCCACCTCAGAGAGAGCTTTGAACACGTTCTGGGGGAGATGGGGGACATTGAGTCAGAGTGGACCATGTTTCGTGCCTCTATTGTCGAGGGGGCTTGGGCTTACCGGAGCTGCGGCCGCAAGGTTGTCGGTGCCGATGGTGGACACAGTCGGTGAGGGATGCTGTCAGGCTGAAGAAGGAGTCCTATCGGGCCTTTTTGGCCTGTGGGACCCCGGAAGCAGCTGATGAGTACCGGCAGTCCAAGCGACATGCGGCTCGGGTGGTCGCAGAGGCAAAAACTCGGGCATGGGAGGAGTTCGGAGAGGCCATGAAGAATGACTTCCGCACGGCTTCGAGGCGATTCTGGTCCACCATCTGGCGTCTCAGGGGGGGAAAGCAGTACGCCACCAACACTGTTTATAGTGGGAGTGGTGTGCTGCTGACCTCAACTCGGGATGTTGTGGGTCGGTGTGCGGAATACTTTGAAGACCTCCTCAATCCCACCGGCACGTCTTCCACTGAGGAAGTGGAGCCTGGGGACTCTGGGTCGGGCCCTCCAATCTCTGGTGCTGAGGTCACCGAGGTGGTTAAAAAGCTCCTCGGTGGCAGGGCCCCATGGGTGGATGAGATTTGCCCTGAGTTCCTTAAGGCTCTGGATGTTGCAGGGTTGTGTTGGCTTATGCGACTCTGCACTATTGCGTGGACATCGGGGGAAGTTCCCGTGGATTGGCAGACCAGGGTGGTGGTCCCCCTATTCAAAAAGGGGAACCATAAAGTGTGTTCCAACTACAGGGGAATCACGCTCTTAAGCCTCCCTGGTAATGTGTATTCGGGGGTTCTGTAGAGGATGGTCCGTCGGATAGTCGAACCTCGGATTCAGGAGGAGCAGTGCGGTTTTTGTCCTGGCCGTGGAACACTGGACCAGCTCTACACTCTCAGCAGGGTCCTGGAGGGTGCGTGGGAGTTTGCCCAACCGGTCTACATGTGCTTTGTGGACTTGGAGAAGGCGTTCGACCGCGTCCCTCGGGGAACCCTGTTGGGGGTACTCTGGGAGTATGGGGTACCGGGCACTTTGATACAGGCTGTTAGGTCCCTGTATGACCGGTGTCAGAGCCTGGTCCGCATCGCCGGCAGTAAGTCGGGCTTGTTCCCGGTGAGAGTTGGACTCCGCCAAGGTTGCCCTTTGTCACCGATTCTGTTTATAACTTTTATGGACAGAATTTCTAGGCGCAGCCAAGGTGTTCAGGGGATCCGTTTTGGTGGCCTTAGGATCACGTCTCTGCTTTTTGCAGATGATGCGGTCTTATTGGCTTCATCAGATCGTGATCTACAGCTTTCGCTGGAGCGGTTCGCAGCCAAATGCGACGCGGCCAGGATGAAGATCAGTTCCTCCAAATCCGAGGCCACGGTCTTGAGCCGGAAAAGGGTAGAGTGCCCTCTCCAGGTCAGGGAGGAGGTCCTGCCCCAGGTGAAGTTCAAGTATCTTGGGGTTTTGTTCACAAATGAGGGGAAAAATGGAGCGTGAGATCGATAGACGGATAGGTGCAGTGTCTGCAGTGAAGCGGGTGCTGTACAGGTCTGTCGTGGTGAAGAGAGAGCTGAGTCAAAAGGTGAAGCTCTCAATTTACTGATCGATCTACGTTCCTACCTTCATCTATG